CAGACTTTTTTTTTTTTTTTTTAATAAAAGTTTATTCTTGAATGTGCAGCAGGGTAACGCTCAGTCTAGCTGAAGGTGGTGAGAGCTTCCTGGCAGGGATGCAGGTGTTGAAACAGGAGTGGAGGCCGGGCTGCCGCCACTCAGGCACAGGGAGCTGCGTGCCTTGCGCCAGGGGTCTTAGTTCCACCTGTGGCCGGGCCTCCCCACGGCCTGTGCCTTCTGCCCCTGGAGGTACTGGTTCGCTTTGTTTTCTGCCAGAAGCTCCTCATTTCTGTCCCTCTCCTGGGCCTGCTTCTTGGGCTGTCGTGGAGGCTTCATGCCATCTTCATGGCTGGACACGGCATTTACGGCCCCTTCCCCAGACCCTGCCATCCCAGTTTGTAACTTACACTTTCACTCTCTTCAAAAGCCACTTTGAAGCAAGTGAAAGTGTAAGTTACAAACTGGGAAGGCTCTTGAAAGTGGGTGCTGCCAAAATCGTTGCTTTTAATGCAGTCAGATTCACCAGTCTTTCCTTCATGGTTAGTATTTTTATATGTAATTTATGAATACAGCACCATGGAGTCAGTTAGGGGCTCGTATCCAGAACACCGGAGCAGCTGGCTGGATGAGCCTGTGGTCCCAGTGAGGTGGAAGTGTGGCTGGAGCCCTGGAGTCGGAGCCTGCGGTTTGCTGAGATCGTGTCTGTGAACGCTGCTGCGCTCCAGCCTGGGCGGCATGGCAAGACCCTATCTCTAAAAAAATCTCTGTATAATAACAGCAGGACAGCTGCAAACTAAGGAGAGTGGGACACAGACACTTCCCACAAGAGGGCATGGGAATGACCAGCTAAAGGCAGCAGGTTAGAGAAATGCGATTAAACCACAGTTTGAAAGCGCCACACCCTTAGAATGGCCAAAATTAAAAAGCTGGACACCACCAAGTGTTGGGGAAGACGTGGAGCCGCTGCTCATGAGATGGCCTCTGCCGCCGTCTCCAGCTGCTCTCCCTCCCTTCCTCCCTCCTTCCCTTTTTCCCTCCCTCCCTCCCTCCCTCCTTCCCTTTCTCCCTCCCTCTCTCCCTCCTTCCCTCCCTCGCTCTCTCTCTTCTGGGCCCACCTGCTCCCTCTTCCAATTCCCTCTGCCTGGCTGTTTTCTCTGGTGAATGCTCACTCAGCCGCAGGTCCTGGCTTAGCAAAGCTCCTGGGCATTCGGCTCTGCCCCTGTCTGCGTGGCCCTCTCACCAGCCAGCTGCTCCTTTGACTCTGAGCTCCGGGAAGGCAGGGCAGCCTCTGCAGGGGCCCATCTTTGTATGTGCAGCACCTAGCATGGACTTGCAGCTTAGGAGGGCCCGGGAGACACCTGAGCAGTGGCACTCCAGCAAAAGCACTTCCTCCTAACATTTTTGGGCTGCTCTTCTCTTTAGGGCATCTTGACCCAGCCGAAAAAGTTGAAAATGCTCACCCCAAGTTATGGTGTGCTCTGAGCGAAGGCAAGGTGACAGTGTTCGATGCTTCTTCCTGGACAGTCCACCAGCACTCCTTTAAAGTGGGCACCGCTAAGGTGGTGAGTACACGAAGCGTCAGGAAAGCCGCCTCTGCATTCCTGCATGATTTCTGAGACCCGAGCGTGATCACCCGTATGCGACACGATACGTGCTCTTGCACAGCATTGCTCACTTTCTGTAAACAGCGGGTCTTAACTTTTACCTCAAGATTTTATATTAAGTGTAAGCTTGTTCCAACCTTCTACTTAACGTTCTTATTGAGGGAGACAGTAATGGCTTTGACTCGCTCTCATCTAAAAATAGATTTCAGGCCACGCCCTGCCCGCCCCCCCCCACTCCCAAATACATTGATTGCAGTGGCTCACACCTGTAATCCCAACACTTTGGCTCACTCGAGCCCAGGACTTTGAGACCCGCCTGGGCAACAGAGTGAGACCCCGTCTCTACAAAAAATACAAAATTTAGTCGGGCATGGTGGAGCATGCCTTTAGCCAGACCCAGTCTCAAACAAACAAACAGTAATAGTAATAAACATCAAAAATGTCAGGTCTGTGAAGTGGAGCCACTGTGGTCTCTGCCTGCTTATCAGAGTTCTCACACCACCCTTTGGGAACAACTTCTTTTACTCTTTTCTGAGACAGGCTCTTGCTCTGTTGCTCAGGCTGGAGTGCAGTGGTACAATCATGGCTCACTGCAGCCTCGACCTCCTGGGCTCAAGTGATCCTCCCACCTCAGCCTCCCTAGGAACTGGGACTATAGGTTCCTGCCACTGTGCCTGGCTAATTTTGTGTTTTTTGTAGAGTTGAGGTTTTGCCATGTTGCCCAGACCGAGAACGCTTCTCATATCCCGCACTGTAGCGCTAAGCTTCCTGTGCATACCAGACCTTAAAATGCCCTGCAGTGTCTCCTGTACACCCTGGTGTTTCCTGGGGCCACAGTGGTGACTGGGTCTCTCTTGGACCAAAAGAGGAGACAGCTCCCACTGCAGTGACTTGAGTGTTATCCAGCTGTCCCCGCCTGCCAGGTGGCAGAGAGGCCAGGGCCCAGCCAAACTCAGCGTCCACTCATGGCACGATTCCTTTCTGTTAGAGCAAACTTGTCCAGTCTGTGGCCTGCAGCTGGGCCACAGTGGGCCTGCATGTGGCCCAGACAGCTTTGAACAGGCCCAACACAAATGCGTCAACTTTCCTAAGACATGATGAGTTTTTCTTTGCAGTCTTTCTCCTTTTAGCTCATCAGCTATCATTAACGTTCATGTATTTTATGTGTGGCCCAAGACAATTCTTCTTCCAGTGTGGCTCAGGAGAGCCAAAAGATTGGACACCCCTGATTAAAAGCAAGTTTGAATTGTTTCTGATAATTTTAAAACAAATACAACTGTGAATGCACTTTTAGTGATGTGTCCGTTGCAGTGCCATGGTGTCGCCTCTTCCGTGACCATGCTGTCTTGAGCGTAGGAGCTGGGAGTCCTGCCCTGCTCATCTCTCCAGGCCCCCAGGGCCCTCCTGCCTCCAGACCGCCATTTCTTGGGGATTGTCCCTGTTTGCTGCGGCTCTGTGTGCACTTCCCTGCCCTCGAGAGGCCGCCCAGGAGCTCCCGTGCTCTGTGGCCCTGCACGCCCTGCTGAGTGCTGCACATCCTCTGTCCATGTTTCTCCTGTTCTCACTCATGGATTCACAGATGATTTCCACACTTCAGTTGCATTTTATACCTTCCAGAATATCTTCACACCTGCAGCCCTCCTCCAGTGCAGCCTCGTGGGGTCTGCTGGGAAATCCTCATGCCTTACTCTTTGAGCATGATAGGATTTATTTTTTTTACATGTTTAATGTGAAAAGAACACTCCAGTGCCCAAGTATACATTAGGCATTGTTGGGTATCAATTTTTTTTTTGAAAGGGCCTCAGTGCCATTGCCCATGGCTGGAGTGCAGTGGTGCCATCACGGCTCACTGCAGCCCCGACGTCCTGGCTTCCGTGACCCCCCTCCCCACCTCAGCCTCCCAAGTAGCTGGGATTACAGGCGTGCCACCACACCAGCTAATTTTGGTATTTTGAGTAGAGACGGGGTTTTACCATGCTGCCCAGGCTGCCTCAAACTCCTGGGCTCAAGTGATCCATCCGCCTCAGCCTCCCAAAGTGCTGGGATTACAGGTGTGAGCCACCACGCCCGGCCATGGTATCAATTTTGATGGCAGTGTTCCCTTGTCTAAAAATAATGTGGCAATCCATGGCACAGTATGTGCTTGCAAAACCGCTATAAAACAAATATCGTGAATTCAAATATATACTGCTGAGAGGGCTACATGTTAGCAAGATGATAAGATTGCTAAACCATTTTCCCCATATGCAAATAATGAGTCTCAGATGATAAAGTCACAGGATCCATGATACAGTAAAAACATTTACAAAAGTCTAATAATGCTTTAAACCAAAAAAAAAAAAGGAAAAATTGGGAAATTATTTTTCTAAATTTAATTTTTAGTTATAAGCATTTCAAGCCTGGGCACAGTGGCTCACGCCTGTAATCCCAGCATGTTGAGGGGCTGAAGCAGGAGGATTGCTTGAGTCTGGGAGTTCGAGACCAGCCTGGGCAACATGGGCATACCGTATCTCTACTAAAAATTGAAGACATTAGCCAGGCGTGGTGGGACTAGTCCCAGCTACTTGGGAGGCTGAGGCAGGAGAATCGCTTGAGCCTGGAAGGCTGAGGCTGCAGTGAGCCATGAGCATGCCACTGCACTCCAGCTTGGGTGACAGGTTGAGATCCTGTCTCAAAAAAAAAAAAAAAAAAAAGTCTAAAAGCAATCGTTGTGCTGACCGCTTAGCCAGGAACCCTGAGCACGTCTTAGCCACCGGGAGCACTGCCAGTTTTGCCTGTTCACACACAGTCAGGTCTCATCATTTGGAGATCCTGTATTTGCAAATTCAACTACCGGCTAATATTTATTTGTAACTCCCAAAACAAATCCTTGTGGTGCTTTCTTGGTGATCCACATACATGCACGTGCCCAGAGTGGGCAAAAACCAGAGTCGCCTGATGTGCGTTTTCTGGGCCAACGAGTGTCCTGTCCTCGGCCTGATTGGTGCCGCGGTCTTCACATTTTTTGCGTTTTGTTGGTGGTTTTACCATTTGAGATAGCCGCAAGCATCACGCTCCCAAAGCACAAGGGGGTGGTGACCCGTCTTGCAGAGAAAATGCATGTGTCAGATGAACTTTGTTCAGGCCGCAGTTACCGTGCTGGCGGCCGTGGGTTCCATGTTAATGAATCAACCATACATAGCAAATAAGGTGTCTGTGAACAGAAGCACGCAGAGAACAGGGCTGTGTACTGAAGGGTTGGTGAGAACGTCAGGACCCAGAGGCTCACAGGACCCTGAGCTGGCGTGTACCCTAGGAGCAATGGTTCCACATCCGCTCCAGCATTTGCAGTAAACGTATGGAACAGGACTTCACTGGTAACGAGAGCTGACTGTGTTCTCATGTTCCCGTGGCCTCTGCAGAACTGCATGGTGATGGCAGACCAGAACCAGGTGTGGGTGGGCTCAGAGGACTCCGTCATCTACATCATCAACGTCCACAGCATGTCCTGCAACAAGCAGCTCACAGACCACCGCTCCAGCGTCATGGACTTGATCGTGCAGGATGGACAGAAGGCTCCCAGGTGCAGGCGGGCTCTGCTGGGACAAGGGATTGTTTGGCTCCTGGGTGGGGCAGAGGCACAGAGGGTAGGGGTCCCAAGGCTCATGCCCACAGGGGCCAGGCAGGGCATACAGAGTGAAGTGGACCTGGAATGAGAAAAGCTGGCCGGTGTCCCCGGTCCCCTTCTGCTCATGGGTGCAGAGAACCCACAAGACCAAAACGAGCCAAGGGTGGTGATGAAGGTGCCACCCCGGCCTTCCTGCCGAGCCTGCTGTGGGCATGGCAGCCTGGGGCAGCCCCGAGAGGGCACAGCCTCCCAGAGGAACACCAGCCATGGTATCAGAAGCCTGGACTCCTGGGAGATCACCTGAGTGCTCAGTGTTGGCCTGGCCTGCCTTGTGCTGCTGCCCCATGTTGGGAGCGGCACTGGACACAGTGGACGTCCAGGGAGATGGGGGGGGGTCTCCTCAAGCAGAGGCTCGTTGGGGTGGGGCTGCCCAAGGCTGCCCAGTTGGTCCAGGCAGCCCCAGCCCTGCATGCGGGGCCACGCTCCCCACTCCTTTTCCCCTGACTTAGTGTCCGGGGTGCCTTGTTTCGGTGGGAAAGGAGGTGCTAGCCTGGAGGCAAAACTGGCTCAGGAGGTACCGGGGTGGGGCAGGGCACAGGCTCAAGCCCCGCCCCACACACAGCCGCCTGCACCTGCAGCCGGCCATGTCACCAGTGAGCTTTGAAGAGCAGGCCCCCTGTGTGAATGGTGCGCACCGACGAGGCTCCATTTCAGTTCATGGTCACGTCGTGGCTCTGTGACCAACAGCTCATTGAGCCTGTGGCCCCTGGTGGTAGGACAGGTGGGCACCCCCCGAAACCCACCTTTTCCCCTGAATCAGCTCATCTGAGCCAAGCCTGGCTGTGGCCACATCCGGAGTATGAGTGCATGTTATTTTCATGTTCGCATGTTACCCGTGTTGAGCACGTTTTCTCTAATGTGACTTGGTTCTTTCCTGGGTTAAGACGGGTGCAGTGTTTCCAAGGGCCCAAGTTAAAGGTGTGTGTGTGTGTGTTTTGTGCCCCCAGCGAGGTGTACTCATGCAGTGTGGACGGCACGGTGCTGGCGTGGAACGTGCGCACGCTGCGGGTGACCAGCCGCTTCCAGCTGCCAAGCGGCGGCCTCACGTCCATCAGACTGCACGGCGACCGCCTGTGGTGCTGTAAGTCCGGCCCCATCAGAGTGGCACCCTAGCTCCCTGCTCTGGGGAAAGGATGCTGAGCAGAAAGCGGCTCTCCTCTGCCTCATGCCTTTCCAGTCTGTGTTTTAAACCGGCTCCTTTTCTGCGCTCTGAGCAGCCTTTGCTCCATCTGCGTTGCTGCTCTTGGGGTTCCCAGGCCTCCCTCTGATTTTCTACCCAGTGGCCAGTGGCACGCCTGCTTGCCTGGATGCACCACTGCTCTGCTGCCCCTCACCTTGGCTTTCGCTGTGCCTTTCGCCGTGCCCTGCTCTGGGGTTGAAGCTGGCCCAGGTGTCCCCTGGAGTCATGGCTGCTTCTCCCGGGAGGCCTCTGTGTGCGTCATGTCTCCACACCTGGGGCCAGCCAGTGAGCCCGTGCCATGTTCCCCTCGGCCACTTGGCACAGAGCTGTGGCCTGGGACTCTCCATGGACCCAGGCTGGGCATTTTGCCAGGGGCGATGGGAGGAGCAGGAGCGGGTGCTTCGCTTGGAACCTTGTGTCTGCGTTTCTGGACGCTGCAGAGCACAGAAGCTGCCTGCACTTTGAGGTCTTCCTTGGAATGTGCTGGATTACATGAGTGACAACTGGGAATATGTTTTCTTTTTTGTAATGGAAGCGTGGTTCACACGTAGTAAAACCCACCAAAAAGGGCTCAGTTTGTTGCAGTTTGTCAAACATGTAAACTACATAGCCATGAAACAAATCAAGAATGGGTGTTTCCATTACAGCCGAAAGTGTCTGTTCCCTTTCTGGGCCATGCCCCCTTTCAGGGGATACAGGTGCTCTTAGTTCCGTCACTCTGAATTTGGGATTTAGAGAACTTTCTGTAAATGGACCCTACAGTATGCATTCTTTTGCACCTGGCTGTATTCAATCGGCAGAATGTGTTTAGGGCTCCGCGATAGCTTCCTGAGCATCAGTATCAATAGCTCGCTCCTTCCTGCGTCGTGTGCATATGGAGCCACTTGGTCATCCTTCCCCTGCCCCAGGTGGACACTGGGTACCTCTGCTTAACTGAAGAACTGTTAGACTGTTTTCTGAGGTGGCGGGAGCAGCTTCCACCCCCCTGCGGTCTCAGGGTTCGTTTCTTCATATCTGAACCCAAACCTGTTCTTACCTGTTTTTATTGAAACCATCCCAGCGGGTGTGAAGTGATGTCTTGAGGTTTGGGTTTGTGGCTCCCTCACAGCTGATGTTGCTGAGCGCCCTGTCCTGTGCCCGGTGCCCCCGATGCCACCCCTGAGCAGTGCCCGTGTGGGCCCCTGCCCACGGCTCCGCTCACTTTCAGGGCAGCAGTGACGTGTTTGGGTGCGAGCCAACGATGGTGCCTCTTCCCCTCGTCTGATTTCTTTTGTTCTTCCTTTCTTGCCTTCTTTTGGATTGAATATTTTTATGTTCAAATTAACCTTCTTTATTGTTTTTAAGCATTACATTTGTTTCACTTTGTGGTGGTTGCTCTAAGAATTGCAATATGCAACCTTAACCGACCACCTTCCTCCTCAACTACGCTACTACCTCATGGATGGGTAAGAAGCTTACAGTATTTCGCTTAAGCAGTCAATGATCTTTTAAGAAAATTAAGAAAAATTAAGAAATTGCCCATATATTACCTTTTCCGGTGAGCCTCATTTCTTCCTAGAGACCCAGGTTTCTGTCTTACGTTTTTTTCCCAGTAGCCGGAGTAATTTCCTTTAGCGCTTCATAGAATTTGAGTCTGCTGGAAACAAATTCAAGGCTGATGGATAGTTCTTATTTTTTCTAGCTCCTTAGAAATATCATCCCGTTTTCCTCTTTGTTCCTGATGAGAAATCTGCCATCGTTCATATTATTGTTTGGCCGTGTATGTCAGTCTTCTCGAGCTGCTGTAAAGGCTCATCTTTGGCTTCCGTTAGTTGCACTGGGTGCTTAGGTATGAAGATCTTTGTGTTGGTCTTGCTTGGGGTCTATGGTCATACATTTTGGAAAAATTTTAACCATTATCTTTTCAAATATTCCTTTGGCCCTACTTGCCCTCTTTGTATGTGTATATAATATATAATCTCCACTTGATACTGTCCCACAAGTCTTGGGCACTGTTACAATTGTTTTTCATTCTTTTTTCTCTTTGTACTTTTGTTTGGATAAGCCCTGAACCTCTCTGCTGTGTTCTCCTGCTGTTAAATCCTTCCAGTGAATTTTCATTTTAGTTCTACAACTTCCATTTCTCTTCTGAATTCTTCATTTCTTCATGCATTCTATTGATATCTTCCTGTAAGTTTTAAAATATATACCTGGGTGCTCACACCTATAATCCCAGCACTTTGGGAGGCTGAGGCAGGTGGATTACCTGAGGTTAGGAGTTCAAGACCAACCTAGCTAATGTGGGGAAACCCCGTCTCTACTAAAAATACAAAATCTAGCCCGGTGTGGTGGCGCATGCCTGTAATCCCAACTACTCAGGAGACTGAGGTACAAGAATCGCTTGAGTCTGGGAAGCGGAGGTTGCAGTGAGCTGAGATCATGCCACTGCACTCTAGCCTGGCCCACAGAGTGAGACTGTGTCTCAAAAAAAAAAAAGTTTTAAAATAGATTTGTAATTATTGGTATAAAGTTGTCTGCTAGATACTGGATCATCTGTGGTTCTATGTACTGTTTTTCTCTTGATGTTGCGTCACATTTTGATGTTTCACATGTATAGTAACTTTTTACTTGATGCATAATAGATGTACATACTTTGGGGGTACATGTGATAATTTAACACATTCATGTAATTTGTGCAGATCAGATCAGTGTGCTTAAGATACTCATTACCTTAAATATTTGTCATTTCTTTATGCTAAAAACATTTAAATTATTTTCTGCTAGCTATTTTGAAATGTGCAGATTATTATAAACTATAGTCACCCTACGGACCTGTTGACAACTAGGTATTGTTCTACCAAATTGTATGTGTGGGCTGGGTGCAGTGGCACATGCTTGTAAGCACTTTGGGAGGCCAAGGCAGAAGGATTGCTTGAGGCTGGGACTTAAGAGACCAGCCTGGCCAACATAGCAAGACCCTATCTCTATAAACAAATGTTTTTTAAAAAGAAAAAGAAAACTTGGAGCTGGGCTCGGTGGCTTGCTCCTGTAATCCCAGCTACTCAGGAGGCTGAGGTGGGAAAATTGCTTAAGGCCAGGAGTTCAAGGCTGCAGTGACCTATAAGGGTCTGCACTCCAGCCTGGGCGACAGAGCAAGAGCCTCTCCAAAAAACTGTAAAAACCCCAAAACGTACATTGATACCCATTAACCAACTTCTCTTCACCCTTCCACCCACCCTCCTGGCCTTCCCAGTCTCCTCTCTGTCTTCATGAGACCCACTCACTCACACATGGGAACCAAATAGCGGTTTTGGTATCAGGGTCATGCCGGCTTCCTAGAATGAGTCTGGAAGTGTTTCCTCTAAGAGTTTCATTAGGATTGGTATTAGTTCTTTTTTAAAGGCTTGTAGAAGTCAGAAGTGAAGAGGCTTTGCTTTGACTGGAGAAGTTTTGTTGTGACTTTGATTTCGTTACTGATGGTTGGTTTGTTGAAGTTTCCCATTTCTTGGTGGTTCAGTCTTGAGTTAGGTTGTGTGTGTCCAGGAATTTATTCTGTTCTTCTAGCTTTTCCCATTTTTCGGCGTGTAGTTGCTGAAAATGGTCTGTGGTGATTCTTTGTATTTCTGTGGTCTCATTTGCTGTGTCTTCATTTCCGATTTATTTGGGTCATCTCTCTTTTCTTCTTAGTCTAGCTAAAGGTTTGTAGATGTTTATCTTTTAAAAACAACTTTTCATTTTGTTGGTCTTCCATATTTTTTTCAGTGTGCATTTTTTCTATTTCTGCTCTGATCTTTATCATTTCTTCTAATTTGGGGTTGGGTTTGTTCTTGCTTTTCTCGTTCCTTGAGGTGCGTCATTAAGTTGTTTCTTTGAAGTCTCCTTTTTGGATATAGGTGTTTATTGCTGTCAACTTCCCTCTTAGTGCCGCTTTCACCGTCTCCCATGGATTAGGGGTTGTTGTATCTCCATTTTCATTTGTTTCAAGACAGTTTTTAAATTTCTTCTTAATTTCTTCATTGACCCAGTGTTGTTTGGGAGCGGGCTGCTTAATCTCCTCGTGTTCGGTTTCTCTTACTGATCTCTAGTTTTGTTCTGCTGTGATCAGAAAAGATGCTTGGTAAGATTTCTACTTTTTTGAAATCGCTCAGACTTCTTTTGTGGCCTACAATATGGTCTGTTCCGGAGGATGTTCCACGTGCTGATGAAAAGATCGTGTCTCAGCCATAGTTGGGTGAAATGTTCTGTGAATAGCAGGCCTCTTTGGTCCAGCGTGTGGTTGAACTCCAGTGTTTGTTGACTTCCTGGCTAGGCGATGCTGAGTGGGGTGTTGAAGCCCCCCCGCTGTGACTGTACTGCAGTTGGTCTCTCCTTTAGATTGATCAGCGTTTGCTTTATGTACCAGGGAGCTCCGGTGTTGGGTACATGAAGATTTTAATTGTTTATCCTCTTGCCGAACTCACCCTGTTATCATAATATTGGGACCTTATTTGTCTCTTAGAATCTCTGATTTGTAGTCTGTTCTGATACAAGTATAGCTTTAAAGAGCATTGGGTGTGTTCTGGCAGGTCCTTAAATTACCGGCAGGTCACTTTGATCCCATGCAGAGGCTTGGTTTTAGTTTGTCTAGGGTGAGTCTATTTCAGTTTTGACCCTCGTCCTGGAGCGTGGTCTTCACTCTTAATGCACGGCCTTTGAGATTTCCAGGGACACCCAAGCTGTAACCAATCCTTTCTACTTCGGATGAGCTAGAGCAAGCTTGTCCAGCCCATGGCCTGGGGGCTGCACGCGGCCCAGGATGGCTTTGCATGTGGCCCAACAAAAATTCGAGAACTTTTTAAAAAAAGTTATGAGATTATTTTTTGCAAATCAGCTGTTGTTGGTGTTAGTGAATTTATGCATGGCCAGGGAAACCGAAGGGTTGGACACCCCGAGTTGGAACTATTGTTAACCTCCCCTCTCTCTAGCCGCAGGAAGCACTGAAATGCCTTCTTGGTTCCAGAATGTTCCAGCTACCACTTTCTGCTGTTTATTTGCAGTTTAGGCAGCAGCCAGGGATTCGAGGACATTTATGTTTATTTTGGGGTTCCCTCATCTTGAGGCTCTTTTTCCTCCATTTCCAGCCATGCCGGCAGCCCCAAACCTACCTCGGCCAGGTCGGGATGCTGTGCACTGCCGGAACTTGGACTCCTCGGGGCCTCGGAGAGAGCCGGGTGACTGCAGCGCTGCAGTCTCTCTCCTCTTTCAGGGACCGGGCCCTTGGCTCTGCTTGGTCTCTAGGGACCGTCAGGTGTGTGTGTGTGTGCGTGTGTGTGTGTGTGTGTGTGTGTGTGTGTGTGAGAAGTTGTCCTCTGCAGTTGCATTTTGGATTAACCTAGCCGGGGAGACCAGAGACGAGGTGAGGATGGACAAGGGTTTTTGTTTGAGAGGCGTCTCACTGTGTTGCCCAGGCCGGTCTTGAACTCCTGGGCCGTAGCCGTCTTCCTGCCTCGGCCTCCCACGGTGCTGGGTTTACGGGCGTGAGCCATCATGCGGGCCGACAGCCTCGTTGTAAGCATTGTATCTTTACACACGAGCCTCTTCACTTTCCCATTTGACTTGTCTGAATGCAACAGGCGGTTTTCCTGTTAACCACACTGAGGAAGGTACAAGAGGAAGGCGGGCTTTCCTCAGGTAAACTCGGAGGCATTTGCCTATGAGGCTATTCTGAGTCTTTCTCTAATGAGGATAATGAGCAAAAATTGTGGCCACTCATCAGATGTTAGCACTTGAGAGATTTGGGTCAGGCCTTGTCTTATTTCCATCTGGGTGTCAGTGGGTGCGGTGGTGCAGCCTGCAAGACAGCATGGAGCAGGGTGGTGGTGCCCTAATCCTCCCAGCGCCCTGAGCAAGGTGGGGCTGGGGGTGCCCCGGGCTGGGATGAGCAGCTCCCCTGGTGAGGGAGGGGTACCACCAAGGTGGAGTGTTGCTCAGAAGGGCGGGTGCTTGGGACATTTTCTAGAAGGGGCTGGACCTCTGCCCCCAGTTACCCGTGCTGGGAGGCTCACGTCTGCCAGGCTACTGGGTGCACTTTGGGGTGGGCTGTGGTCTCCCGGGCATCTGGGCTTGGATCCAGGCATGAACATTGGATGCGGGCCGACCGGGCAGCCCCTTCACCTTCCTGGAGTCTTCACTTCACTGTTGAAAGAGTGAGATGTGAACTCCACGCTTTCCACTGCAAAGGGCACTGAGGGTGGGGAGGCGGGAAGCCAGAGCACTGTCCACCTCAAAGGCGCAGAGAATGCCAGATGCCAGCAACAGAGGCCCAGAACCTGGGCGGCGGGCACGGAGCCCCAGTGGCACGGACCTGGCCTGTGTGGGAAAGGGGTCATGGGGCAAGAAAGGGGTGAGGAGTAGAGAGGCACAGTAAGGGTGCCCCATGGCCACTGTGCCCCCAGGATGGAGCCCAGCCCCTCAGTTCAGCACACGGGTACCTGAGACCCACTACCCCCCTTGCCAGCCTCACCGCTGCTGTTCCCCTGTGCTGGCCCCTCACTCCTGTCCCCTGTTCCTCCCCCACTTCCCCACTTCTCTCAGGCCTATTCTCCTGCCCTCCCACTTCCGTGCTAACACCGGGGCTTTAGCGTGGGGCAGTGGAGAGGGAGGGATGCTTGCAGTCAGAGCGTAAGGAAGGAGGGCTGGGCACGCTTCTGTCTCCTGAACGCTGACCTCTGTCTTCTCTGGAGAACTTGCCTCACATCCGTCCATGGTGCTGCTTCCAACCGCTCACAGATCTCACAGATGTGAAAACTCTTGCTTTACAAAAAGGACGTTCTGCCGGAGTGGTTAACAGATGAGGGGTGCTTAGAACCACGCAGGGCATGCTCCCCAGAGGCTGGGTGTTGTTCCCTGGAATTCGAACAGTTGCTGTTGGAGCCACGTGGGTTTCAGGTGTAGAAAGCCCTGAACCGCCTCCGAGAAGCAGCTGCATCTTCTCGCCACGGTGCTCAAAGCCGCGGATGAGGGACAGGATTCCTGCGGTTTCCTCAGCAGCAGCAAGAGAGTCAGGTGTGGGCATCTTACATTGCCAGTGGTGCTGCCCAGCCCCAGCCCAGCTCCTCCCTTCCGCAGGTACAGGTAGCAGCATCATGGTCGTGACAACGAATGGCTTCCTTCGTCAAGAACTGAAGATTGAGGAGAACTTCACAGACACCAGCACCTCCTTCCTGGCCTTCCAGCTCCTTCCCGAGGTATCCCCGCAGGGGCTCTGGGCCCAGCATGCGTGTGGCCCGGGGCCCACGGCCCACACCGTGCCCCGTGTTTCAGCAGGAGCAGCTGTGGGTGGCATGTGCAGGACGGAGTGAGGTTTATATCTGGAGCCTGAAGGACCTGGCCCAGCCCCCCGAGAGGGTGCCCCTGGAGGAGTGCTCTGAGATCGTCTGCATGATCCGGGTGAAGAAGCAGGTAGGGGAAGCGCCCACCACCCCCAGCATCCTGCCAGGTCTCGCCTGCCCCGGCCGGGTCCCCACGCTCCCCAGAGAGCCAGCCACACACACACCCTGTGCCCTCCTGCCCTCGCCTCTCGGCCCCTCCAACAGGCACGCACAGGGTTGGCACCAGCGGGCACACAGGTCACCACAGGCTGCAGGTTTCATGGTGTGGCCCAAGCACTCACAAACCAGGTGTTCCTAGGACCCCACAGCAGACTCCCCCAAACAGGGCGGCTTCAAGTGACAGCCTTATTTTCTCAGAGTACTCGAGGCTGGAGGCCAGAAACAAGGTGTCAGCAGTGCGGCCTCCCTCGGGGGCTCAGCGGAGCCTGCACTCCGGGCCCTTCTCTCCGCCCCCTGCTCATGCGGCCACGGTCCCTGGCTGTGGACGTGGCACTCTAATCTGCGCCTAGGCCATGTGGCACTCTCTCCCCCTGTGCCTGTGTCTCTTGTGGGGACGCTGGTCACACTGAATTTCCGAAGAAGCTCACACTCTGAAGTTCAGGGAGGACATGGATTTGGGGGACACTGTTCAACCCATTACAGTCTGCTCTCTGGACCCCCAAATCCACAGCTGTCCCACATGCAAAATACACTGCCTCCATCACTACATACCCCAAAGTCCTTGCTCATTCCAGCATCTGTTCTGAGACCCAAATCTCCACGCGGACCCAGTGCCCTTCCATGTGGGTGAGCCGTGGGCAGGTCCACCTGGGGCAGAACCTGCCGCTCTTCCACTGGGAACCTGTGCAGCTAGAAGGTCTGTCTCCCCAAAATACAAGGCTGGGCTAGGCAGAGGTTAGACATTCCCACCCAAAAAGGGAGAAACAGGAAGGACAGCTGGAGTTCCAGGTCCCAGGCAAGTCTGAGACACTGCGGGGGGAGTTAATGAGCATTTCCCCATGACTCTACTGGGATAGAATTGACAAATAAAAGAAGTTACATATATCTAAGGTATACAAAGTGCTATTTCAATATACATTGTGAAATAATCACAGTCAAGCCAATTGCCATATCCATCACTGCACACAGGTGGCTTTTTGGGTGGTGAGAACACTTGCAATCCACCCCCAGCACGTTTCCAGCGCGCGATGCAGTCTCGTTCCCTGGAGCCCCTTGGCCCTTAGGTTCTAAGCCTGAGAAGGGTCCTCTGCACCTGCCAGGTGGCCCTGGCCCTCAGCCGGCAGAGTCCTGTCCAGGAAGGAGGTAGTTTTGGGGGCACACGCATCAATTCCAGGTAGCCGGGCAGAGCCCTGGCATGCCTGGGAGGGGCTCCTTCCTCCACTGACCCCTCCTGTGTCTCCCTGGCAGGTCTGGGTGGGCAGCCGAGGGCTGTGGCAGGGAACACCCAAGGGGAAAATCTACGTGATTGATGCTGAGAGCAAGACCGTGGAGAAGGAGCTGGTGGCGCACATGGACACTGTGAGGACGCTGTGCTCGGCTGAGGACAGATACGTGCTGAGCGGGTCGGGCAAGGACGAGGGGAAGATCGCCATCTGGAAAGGGGAATAGACGTGGCAGAGCGTGCCAAGCAGAACCTTGCCGCCCCCTCGAGCCCGCCAGGAGCAGAAGCCCCGAGCGGTGGGGGGCAGGGCAGCCCAGACTCAGCGTGGAGCTTGCTTACCGTGTGGCCAGCCACGAGACCCATGGCCATGCAGCTTCTCAATGGCCTTCGGGTCCTCTGGCTAAACTGCACCAAGAGTGTGTCCTGTTGGGGTGTGTCTCAGGCAGGCAGCTGCATCTTGTTGGTGATAACCTCTATTGAGACGTTACTTTGTGTGTTGCCTGGAAATTGCTGGAAATCACCACCGTGGGCCGGCATGGAGCCGGCAGCTTGGCTGAGTCACAGGTGACCTGTAGCTCTCACATCTCTGGTTTTGCCTTTCCTTACCTCAAGCATTCACTTACCCGGTCCTTACGCATCACGGAGGAATGCTGGGCTGGGCACATGACGGTGAGCCCGGGGCCCTGGGGCCTCCAGCGAGGCCTGTGAGAAGGAAGAGTGGCTCAGATAACAAAGGGTGTGTCTCCCAGCAGAGGAGGTGGATAGGGCCTGCGCAGCTGGAGGTGTCCACAGTGGGATCAGATTTTGGGAGAGGGGTTGGGCCAGCTGAGGTAAGCTGTCTTTTTTCCTTTTCTTTTAAATAAATGCACAATTTTTATAATAATGCTAGAGACCTTTTTTCTGCCAAAGATCGCAGACCAAAAAAAGTTCCATCTAAAATATGCTCAGGAAACTACACAGAATCTAAAGTAAAATAGCATCATGCACGGTCTCGTATTCCAGTGAAGATGTCCCAGATGGGCGTGTGGTTCAGCCCATGTCTGTGCTGGATGTGCATGGGCAAGACGCTTCACTGAACTGAACATCTCAGCTGTACACAAAGATTTGCAAAAGAGACCTTTTGCACTTTTTTACTGTAATGTTGAGATTTCATTACTTAGATGTTCCGTGGAAGGTTCTGGTGTGGCTGTTGGAACTGGAGAGAGCATATCAGCACATGCCGAGTGTGCGGGGGTGCCCCCCGAGCACCCATCCACGGGCTGGGCCTTGGAGCCCTGGGTACTCAGGACACAGCCCCAGAGTTGGCACACCCCGAGTGTCTCTGGAGGTGTTTGCCAGGCTCCTGGAATGGGCCACCTCCAGAAGCTCTGCAGTGTCTCCAAATGGAAAGGCAGGCTGGCCTCTGGTTGGGTCTGCATTTTGGAGAGTCCACACCACGGGCCAGCTTTTCCCCAGGCTAGGCTTTGCATAGCCACTTACTTCTTGGGGCGTTCTGACAATGTGGGAAGAGCAGAGCTTTGTGGCCTCATCCTCCTGCAAGGCTGTGCCTCCGGTGGGGGCACGTTCCCAATTTCTAGCAGGGGAGAGGTCGGAGTTTGCTTTTGTAAACACATGAATACTTATACATGTATTTTTGACAGACTTTTATCATGTTATTTAATGCCAGTCCTCAGGTAACCTCAGGTATCTTCAGCTTATGGATAATAAATTTTGTTTATTAAACACTGGTGTCCAGCGTCCGTCCTTTATCCAGCAGTGACTGGTGGGAGGTCCTGAAAATGAAATGACCCCTGGCCGCTCCTCCCTTCTGAGCACCCATCACATCATTTTAATGCAGACTCTTCATGTCTTTTCTCCATGGTGGTGGTGATTTCCAGGATCTTACTTAACAGTGGTCGCGTTTTAGGAAGTGGTCATGTGAAAGAGAACACGGAGGCGAACAGAGGCTAGCAGGGAGTAAGTGCTGGGCAGGCTCCGCTCCGTGTTTATCCCGCGTTCCGCAAACAGAATCCTGGCCAGTGAAGTTGATTGTAATGGAAAGGGCACTTTGACGTCTTCGATTTTTCCGCCGTGCTTCGGAGAGATTCCATTACGAATGATCTGTCATGGAAAGGCCCCAAAGGAGCGGGAATTCATGGAATAGACTGTGATGCTATCCCTGCCTCCGTTTTAGAAACGTGAATTAAATTGGTACAAAAAAGTATTTCTCTTGAACCAGAAGCCAGTATATTTTAATAGCACTTTAGCTCTCCTGCCGTATTTCAAACGACAGAAAAGAAAGCTTGCTTTGGGGAGCTGGCACTGTTCACACCTCCAACCAAAAGCTTATGCCAACTCCCCACTGCAGACGCAGGTGTAAAGACGGTCACCTGGTAACGTTTCCATGATTTGTTCTTGGAGGATGTGTGCACAGGAGCCGTTTTCAAATGACGGCCGTTGTTACCATTAGATGTGACTATAGAACATCTGAAGAGTGCATGACTCCGTCTACTTCTTGAGGATTCCTTGGACAGATGAAGGGGTGCTTTCTCCGAGTGGCTAGGGAGGGCATGGTTGGAGAGCCCGGCAGGGTTGCGTCACTGTCCCCACCACCTGTAGCTGTTTGCATGTGCTGTGTCAGTGCTGTGCCATCCCCCAGAAAGCGAGGCAGAGGCTCTCAGACACAGAGCTGGTTTGCGTCGCCCGCATTGCTGCCGCTGAGCTGCAGTGCGAGCCGAGGCGTACCTGGGACTCGGGGCAGCGCTGCAGCTGTGTGCCCTGGAATCTTGGCGTATTCTTAGAGACACAGCCCAGGGTGACAGGCACTGCAGAGGCACAGGGGCCGCAGGGAGCCTGATCTAGGCTTAGCTGCAGATCGGGCCACAAGCCTTGTGCCCTTACAGGGATGGTTCCTTCCTGCAGGGCTTATGAGGCCAATGGGGCACACTTGAACACCCAGTCTGTTGCTGGGGACCCAGGAGCACCTCCAGAATGTGAAGGAAGAGGAAATGATGATGTTGTGGGTTGAAAGGTGCCCTCAAAAGCAGGTGTCACGTTCTACCCCCTGGACCTGTGAATCTCACCTTATTTGATGAAGGGTCTTTGCAGATGTCACTAAGGATCTGAAGAGGAAACCCTCCTGGATTATAGGGGGCCCTAAATCCAGTGACAAGTGTCCTAAGGAGGAGAGGAAAAGACACGTGAGGAGAGGCTACGTGAAGACAGAGGCAGGAGCCATGCAGCCACGATCCCAGGAGCCTGGAGCCACCAGGAGCTGGAAGAGGCCGAGATGCGTCTTTCCCCAGAGCCCTCAGGGGGCATGGCCCTGCTGGCACCTGGATCTCAGACTTCTGGCCTTCAGAATGGTGAGAAGGTAAAGGTCAGGTGCATGACTGCCCGTCACCATGCCCAGTTTGCAATCGTTTGTTCCGGCAGCCACAGGAAACTCTCCCAGCTCCTGTTTGTCGCCTGTGTGCCCCGGTCAAGTGCTGTGCCGGGTGCTTTAGGGGCACTGTGTATGATCCTCAGGGCTCCGTGGCATGGCGATGATCATCCCCATCTTACACGCAGGATACTCTGGCCCCACTACTAAGCGCTAAGTGGAGGTTGGGAGCATACACTTTCCACTGCCAAGAAGGCAGGGCCGGGCTCCGAGAGGCCCCAGAAGCTGCTCTTGCCCTCTGCGCAGTCTTTCCGCTAGCGCCCTCACCTTTATCAAGGCACTGGGAGTGGGGGCTGAGGCTGGCGCTCCTGAGATGTGTTAGCAGCAGCCCCTGGCCCATTCAGGGAGGATCCTGGGGTGAGGGAGGGAGTAAACTCACCTTGCTTTGGTGGTGGAGAAGAGTAAGTCTCCCTAACTCTGCATCTTTCCCTGAGGGTCAAGGGAGAGTATTCTGCGGCTCTAGGCCCTGGCCAGCAAACCACTGCTGCGGTTCTGCTGGGTGTAGTGGTGGTCATCCGGGGAGGGCTGAGGCCACGTGTGCACAGGCTGACGGGCTCAAAGGGAGATGTGGTGGGGCACTGGTGAGGTTAGTGGGGCCGGGGCATCACGGATGCCCCACATGGATGGCTGCAAAATCAGACATGAAAGATATTCACCAAAACACAGGAAAGCAGTGACAGAGGAGCAAAAAGCCAGATGTGACGAGTATGGTGGACTGAACTCTAACCATACTGATAATTACATGAAGTGTAAATGGATGCAACACTCCAATTAATTAAAAGGCAGAGGTTGTCAATCTAGATCTAAAAGGAAACCTAACTAAGTTGTCTATAAGTGATGCACTTTAAATAGAAAAGCACAAGACAGGGGTGAAAGGATGGAAAAAGTTTGAGCCCGGATGCGGTGGCTCACACCTATAATCTTCGCACTTTGGGAAGCTGAGGCAGGAGGATCACTTGAGCCCAGGAATTCGGGACCAGCCTGGGCAACCCAGTGAGATACCCCATCTCTCCAAAAACATTATAAAACAGCTGGACGTGGTGGTGCTGGGACCTGTAGTCCCAGCTACTCCCAGGGCGAGGTGTGAGGGTGGCTGGAGCCTGGGAAGTCAATGCTGCAGTGAGCTGTGATCACATCACTGCACTCAGCCTGGGTGACAGAGCGAGGCCCTGAGGAAAAAAAAAAGTGTCACTGTGCAAACAATAAGTATAAAAAGGCTTGTATGGTTATATTACTTTCAGACAAACATAATTCATGGTATATTACAAGAAGCAAACAGGGAAAGCATAATAAGGTCAATTCAAGATGAATTAATAGAGATTGAAGAGATATGAAGCAAGCATGGAAGAACTATAGGAGAAAACAGACGAAATCCACAGTCAGATTTTAACCCCCTTCTCTCAGAAATTGATAGAACAAGTAAACAATTCACAGGGATAAGATTTAACAATAGGACCAACCAGCCTGACCCAGCAACAGCAGAAGAGCCATTCTTTCCATGTGCTCGTGGAATGGTCACCAAACTGGATGATATGCTGGGTTATAAAATACATTTGAAGGTTTAAATGTTACAGAATATGTTCTCTGACCACACAGAAATGGAATGGGGTACCAACAGTGATAACACGCCGAAAAAATCCCAAAATTAAAATCATGTTGGGAAATTAACATACTTCAAAATAACCCATCAGTCAAAGAAAAAACAAAGGAAATTAGAAAATATCTTGAACTCAATGATACTGAAAACACAACATATCAGAATGTATGGGATGCAGGCCGGGCATAGTGGTTCACGCCTGTAATCCCAGCACTTTGGGAGTCCAAGGCAGGAGGGTCCCTTGAGTCCAGGAGTTCAAGACCAGCCTGAGCAACATGGGGAGACACTATATCTTCATTTTTAAAGAAAACGAAAAACCAAAATGTATAGGATGTAGCTGAGGAGAACAATTATAACTTTAAATGCCTGTGTAGAAGAAAGGGTTCAAATCAGCTACATAAATTTAACCATAAGAGTGTAGAAAAATAAAAGTATATTTATAAAATAAGTAAAGGAAGTACGAAAGAGAAAGCGAACAGCAAAGCCAGAAGCTGGTTCTCCAATTGATAAACCCTATCGAGACTGACCAAGAAAAACACATGCACAAATTTCATTCCACCGTCAGGAACGAAATGGAATACAAATCTTACATACATCAAAAGATACTATGAATAACTAGATAAAATATGCAAATTTCTTAAAAATAACTTTATGAAATGAACACAAGGAGGAATAAAATCTGAGGAGTCTTACATCTATGAAGGAAATCGGTTTAGAGTCAAAAATCTCCCAGAAAGATGAGATCTCTAGGCTCAAGTGCTTTCACTAGTTAATTCTAACAAACTCTTACAAATGGCATAATAGAATTTATAGAAGCCCTTTCAGAAGAGGAGAGAACCCTTCAATTTCCATCAGAAACATAGACATAAAATTCCTTGGGTATCTACCCAGAGGAAAATAAGTCATAATATGAAAAAGTCACTTGCTCACACATGTTTATAGCGGTACAATTCGAAATTGCAAAAATATGGAACTAGACCAAACGCCCATCAATCAACGAATGGATAAAGCACATGTGGTGTATTTATATCACAGAATACTACTCAGCCATAAAAAGGAACGAAATCATGGCATACACAACAATGGATGGAATTGGAGACTACTATTCTAAGTAAAGAAACTCAGAAATGGATAACCAAAAATTTTATGTTCTCACTCCTATGTGGGAGCTGAGCTATGCGGACGCCAAGGCATAAGAATGATACAGTGGACTTTGGGGACTTACGGGGAAGGGTGGGAGAGGGGAAAGAGATGAAAGATTACACATTGGGTACAGTATACACTGCTCGGGTGATGGTGCACGGAAATCTCAAATCACTGCCAAGGAACTTACCCATGTAACCAAAGACCACCTGTTCCTCCAAAACCTTAAAAAAAACCAAAAACCCAAAAAACAAAAACAAAACAGATGCAACAAAATATTAGCAGACTGAATCCAGCAGTATTTTTAAAGGTTAATACATCATGATGAAGTGGGGTTGCAAAATGCAAGGTCAATTTAATATTCAAAGGTCAAGCAGTGGTACTTACCGTATCAGTAGAACAAGGGGGACGTCTTCAAATTGACAACATTCACAAGAAACCCACAACAAGCCTCACACCTAATGGTGAAAGATGAATTGCTTTCCCCCTCGGAATGGGACCAAGGCAAGGATCTTTGCTTTCCGCTTCCTATTGACATTGTACTAGAGATTCTGGCAGGGCAATAGGGCAAATAAAATAAATTTTAAAAGGCATAAAGACTGTACTGATTTAGCAGAACATTGAGGGGGAAATAAAGACCATTGTACTGGAAGGGGCAAAACCGTCTTTATTAGAAGACAGCAAGATCGTTTATGTAAATCCTAAAGAATCTATTTTAAAAACTAGAATAGTTTTCTAGTTTTTTTCTAGTAAGGTACTAGATACAAAGTCAATATATAATCATTGCATTACTATATTCTAACATCAAACAACTTGTAAACTTTTAAAATACTTACAGTAACATTAAAAAACATTCAATAGAAATAAATTTAATGAATGATGTAGAAGACTGAAAACTCCAAAACACTGCTGAGAGAAAATATTAAAGACGGAAAGATGTTTTCCAGGACTGTGAGATTAAATATTATAAACATGTCAGTCATCTCCAAATTGACCTGACAGATTCAATTTAATCCCAGTCAAAATCCTAACAGAATGTTGAAAAAAGAAATGGAGAATTTGAGAACATATATGGAAATGCAAAGTAGAATATTTAAGCTTCAAAGAGACAAGCCAGGTGGGGTGGCCTGAGCTAGTGGACTCATGTATGTCTGTATGCTTGACGTAAGTGTAGATAATTGAATCAATGGGAAAAAGATGTAGGGTCTAGATGCACACACATAAAATCAGCCGACTGCACAAAAACAGACGCTCCACGACAATTCAGCAAGGAAAGTGCTCAGCGGATGCTGCTGCCGCGACGGCACAGACGTGCGGAGAAGGAAGCAGCCCGGCGCTCCTCACTACAGCTTAACTCAAGGTGGCTCACTGACCTCGGCGTGAAGCTAGAAGCTCTAGAAACAAGCATATCTTTGCCACCTTGGTGCAAAGACTTTTCTAGAGAGAACACACAAAAAAGCTAAACACTAAAGAAAAAATTGATAAATCGGATGTCATCAAAGCATGTCATTAAGGAAAAAAGAAAACATTTGCAGTACCATATCTGGCAAAGAATTTTTATCAAAAATATATTCTACAAATTGACAGCAAGATGAACAACTCAACTGAAAAATGGGCAAACAAGGCTGGGCATAGTGGCTCATGCCTGTAGTCCCAAAACTTTGGGAGGCCCAGGCAGGAGGACTGCTTGAGCCCAGGAGTTTGAGACCAGCCTGGGCAACATAGGGAGACCCTATTTCTTAAAAAAAAAAGGGCATGGTGGCGTGCATCTGGAGTCCCAGCTACCTGGGAGGCTGAGGGAGGAGAATGGCCCGATGCCAGGGGACTTCCGGGAGCCCTGATCAAACTTGGGCACTCCAGCCTGGGCAACAGAGGGAGACCCTGTCTCAAAACAAGAAAGAAGTCACACCCTGGAATGCTAACAGCTATTAAAGAATGCAGTAGGTCTACGTGCAGGAACAAGGAAAGTTGAAGATATTTGGCTAAACAACAACAAAAAATGCAGATTGCAAAACTCTGGACAGTGGTCCAAATTTTGTTAAAAATAATTAGCATTAGTAATGTGGAGACAAAGATGTGAAGACTGGGGCCAGGCGTGGTGGGTCACGCCTGTAATCCCAGCATTTTGGGAGGCCGAGGCCGGCAGATCACTTGAGGTTAGGAGTTCAAGACCAGCCTGGCCAACATGGTGAAACCCTGTGTCCTCTAAGAATACAACAATTAGCAGGGTGTGGTGGTGCATGCCTGTAACCCGAGTTACCAGGGAGGCTGAGGCGGAAGAATTGCTTGAACCTGGGAGGCGGAGGTTGCGGTGAGCCAATGTTGCACCACTGCACTCCAGCCTGGCCAACAAAAAGAAAAAAAAAAGACAAAAAAGACTGCAGGTTGGGAGGCCTGAGGCACTGAATCTCTGCCTTGGTGACTTCTTGCCCTGCAACGGCTGCTGGGCACTCAGGGAGGGCATGTCCTTGGCGGGCATCCTGGGGAAAGGCCAGGAAAGGGGCGCAGCGCCGGGCGTCCCCTCCTAGCCTGGGGGAGCGTTGGCGGGGTGCGGGGTGCTCGCTCAGGTGGGCCAGGTGAGGCGGTAGGGCTGGCGGGGGGGAAGACACACCCGGTCCCCTGCCCCTCACCCGGCGGTCCCTGACCGGGGGAGCGGGGGTCTTCGTGGGGTGCCAATTCCCTCCTCCTCCCCACAGGCACTGGGCCCTGGGCGGCCACCAGGGTGCATGGCTCCCACTGCTCCAGGCCCTCCCCGGGGGCGTCTCCGTGGCCGAGCGGGATTGTGGCGCAGTGGCCGGTGTACCCTGCAGGAAGCCATTCTCGTTGGCTGCTGCCTCCACCTGGGAGGGAATCGCCTGGATCTTGGGTCCTGGGCCGTCATCTGTGTCCCCAAAGCCCAGCCCCGAGTCTGGGGGCATGGGACCGGATGTGCTGTGGTGGGCGGAGGCTTCTGCGGCCCCTCCATAGCAGGGACAGCGGGGTGGAACAGGGTGAGGCCGCGGGGCGGGACGGCGCGCACCCGGAGGACAGCAGGGGACACTGAGTGCTCCTGCCAGCCTGGGCGCTGGGCAGGGTCCCAAAGGGCAAATGGGGCCTTGGGAGCAGAGTCTGGGCAGCCCTGGCTCTCCGCTCCACTTCCGTCTGGCGCAACGTGACCATCCCTTTAGTCCCCAGGACAGGGCGATCAGCCCGTGTTTTGCAGCAGCGTCAGAGTGGCCCAGCCAGGAGTCATCCCCAGGTGTGGGGCTCCTGGCTTCCGTGCTCCAGCCCCCACCCCGACTATGCAGGTCCCATCGGGAGCCCGAGATGACACTCCCCTACTATCAGAGCCCCTGCTCTTTCTCCCTGGTCTAACCAGATCCCTTCTACCCCGCCCTTTGCCCAGCTGGGACCCCTCCAAGCCCCACAGCTTCAGAGCAGAGGAGCCGTTGACAAAAACAGCTGGGTCACCCAAGGCAAGTCCCCTCCCCTTCATTCTCTTCACTGCTGACTGGCAACCACAGCCCTCGGTGGGTACCAGAGGGCACAGATGACCCACTCCGACTGTAGGAAGGCCAGTGGAGTGCTCGTCCAGCCACTCCGGGACCCTGTATGCTCCCTGGGACTGCCAAGGCCAGGTGCGCACAACAGGCCACCCACTGTCCTCAGCCCAGCATGCCCACTCCTGCTGGCAGCAAGCAGGCTGCCTCCCCAAGACACTCGACCAGGGTCAGTCAGTCAGGAACCCTTCAGCAGAGGCAGACCACAGGCCGGCCCCATCCCCGCTCCACCAGACAGGCCAGCAGGAGAGCCCAGGCCTCAACCCCGCCAGAGCCAAGAGCCCTCACCTCCAGGTACAGGAGCACCCCTGGAGGGCCACAGCTAACGGGGAGTGTGTGGGCGTTCCAGGGACAGGCCTCAGGTTTGCGAGCTGGCAGGGCCTCCAGGGAACAAATGCTCCTGTCCTTGGGTCCGGCCCGCCATCTGCAGGCCTCAGACAGCCCACTGGACCCACTAGGCACCAGGAAGGCAGAGGGCAGGCAGTAGGGAAGTGACAGACACACCCACACCATCATGTCAGAGGGAAAAGTTTATTGAGTCAGCCACAGAGGAACAGAGAAACAGATGCAGGGAGGTTCCCGGTGCAGAGGCAATCAGGGCGCTGCACCAGCGAACCTTGTGCAGGACAGAGCGGGTGCAAACAGCAGTGCATGCCACGAACGTTCACCTGGCAAAGAAACATGACAGAACCCAAGGGCTCTGTGTCCAGACGGACACAAACATGAGGCCACTTACCCAACTAACAGGAAAGTCATGAATGACACGACCCTTCCTGACGACCTCCTCCTCCTCCTAAAACATAACATTATGTGTTTAACACACACTTATACCATTGCTAAATCAGCAAGAGCTATTAGAGTGCTCCAACTTAATAAGTTGATAAAAAGCTGTTCTGTGGCCAGTTCACAATGGAACTAAATAGTTTCGTTCCGAGATGCCTGGGGAGTTTCTCTGACAGCGAGGCATCTCCAAGACGCGGGTCATTCTGTCACCAGGAGCTGGTCTCAGTCCACGGCACAGAGTGACATGCCCCTGACAGCCAGCCCTGCGGAGGGCAACGGGCAGCTGCTGGGAGGGGTCCTCGGTCCTCCTGGAGGCCCAAGGAGGGGCTGGCCAAGGGGCCACCTCGAGGTTTGGGGGCTCTGGCCGGAGAGTGATTGCTGGCTTTGCATGAGGAGGTGACAAGAACTTTAGGCTGGGTCCCCAACATGCTGTGTGCACAGGCCTTGTTCAACCCAGAACTGAACTGACACCTCTCCCAGGTGGTGAAGGGCAGAACCCCCCAGGAGCTCTCGGAAGCAGGGGTCCCTCACGACAGGCCTGTGGCACCAGGCTTGGAGGCAGGGAGCTGGTGTGTCTCAGAGGCGGCGTGTGCTGCTGGGAGGCGGAGGGCAGACGGGCCTGACTCCGCGGCAGCAGTCACCCGCACGCTGTGCGGTGGCGACAGCTGGACCACCGCTGAGGCAGAAGCGAAACAGCGTGGGAAGAGCTGTGTGTCTTTCCTGAAGCCGGTTCACGTCTAGTGTGGACAGCAATATTTGGTGTTTTGCAAACTTGGTCTGTAGTAGGTGTCACTATTGCTGGTGGCCGCAGAAGCCATTAGCCACAAAAGGGTTTTTCAAACATGCCACCCGGACATCACGGCCCCAGTGGTGGAGAGCCAAGGGCGGCCACAGCAGCCCTTCTGCCCCACTCTTGTTGCCCTGAGGGCTGCTTCCTGCTCTGCTTTGGGGTTCTAGGTGGTCACAGGCCAAGTCCTCCACAGGTGGGGTCTTCCAGAAACACTCCTGAGGGCTGTTGGAAGCCACTAACCATCTGTGGAGGGCTCAGCGGCCCTGCCTCCCCCCAGGGGACAGGACTGGACACAGCGCTTCTCCCAGGGGCCCGAGGCTTTCATGGGCAGGGGTCCAAGGGGCAGCACAAAGGGCTGGCATGCTCAATGGCGGGTTGGATGATTCCAGCTCAGACCCCTGCCTGGCGCTGAGAAAAACGGAACACTCCAAGGCTAGCTCTTCAGCCACCAGGCAACGTCATGATGCCAGTCCACTGACAGACCTGGGCAAGAGGTCACAGGCAGGCTGGCCAAGCTGAGCGCCCATGGCCTCTGCCCCTTCCCACCAGCTCGCATTCCTGGAAACTTCTGCCATGTGTTAAGGGGAAGCTTGCCAAAAGATTCTTGACTTAGCTGACTTTGATAGGGAACAAATCAACACAAATGAGACCAACGTCACCCTAGTTTGTAACTGGTCTGTGTGCGGTACGCAAGACTCGACCAACCGACACCATGCCTGACACCCCAGTCACCACTAGCCTGCACGGCCCAAACCCCGAGGGCGCCATGAGCCCAGCTTAGGCTGCGCCCACAGCACTGGGTGCCTGGCTAGCTTCCCCAGCGGGCACCTGCACAGCTTCCTCGTCCTCCTGGACATGGCTGCCAGCCAGAGCACCTCCCCTTTGACAGTGAATGGCATCCCCAGCCCCACCTTGGCACTGCATCTATCCGAGGTACAAGGTTAGAAACCACAGACGCCTGAGCTGCCGCCTCACCCACACAAGCTGCGGGTACATGGACAAGACGGCCTGCCCGCCTGCCCTTCTCGGCTTCCCTTAAGACACAAGGTGACGACATGGACAGTTTCAAGTGAGTGCAATGTGGAAATAATCTCCATGCAAGGGAGGGGCTGAGGCTAAAGGATGTGGCAGCCTGGCCCTTGCTGTGGCCAGGCCGGGCCCACATGAACCGTGAAGAAACCGACGCTACTGACCCTGAACCCCAGCCCCCGCTGCTCCACCTCATTTCAGGTCCACACGCTGACCGGACCTCCGCACTAAGAAAGACTTTGGTTGGCAACACCTGAAGGGCTGAGAGCTTGACTAGTCCGGTGTGCATCCCCCGACTTGTCACTGAGGAGCACATGACAGTCACGCCCGTCTCTGGCTGGCAATGGCTTTCAGGGTGTTCACACTCTGACAGTGACCATGGCAAGGCCACGTGGAGAGCACTGAAGGCCTTCGTTATCCTTACTTCAGATTGGTCAAGTCGAGGCTGGGATCTCTAGGGTGAACACACTGCTCAGAGCGGGGTTGCGAAGCCCCTCTTCCTCCTAAAAATCAAGTTGCAGCCCGGCCCTGAGACTCCTGCACTCCCAGATGGCAGTGAACCGGCTTTGGTGAGCCCTGTATCTGGCCCCTGGGCCTTCAGTTGAGGGAGGGAGGGAAGCCGCGGCGAGGGGCGGCCCCCGGCTGAACCCGAGTCTGGCGTGGTTTGGGTCGGATCTGGATTCAGGTCAGGTCACTGCCACCCTGCATCCGCTGCTCTCCTGCCTCCATCTGCTTTCCAGTCGCCAGGACGAGAAACCAGCTGAGATACCGGCTGCGTCTCGAGGTCCTGACAGCACAGCCAGGTCTCGGAGTGGGGACCTACAGTCTAAAGCCACTAGAGGGTCAAGTTGCATAGTGAGCTGCCACGGACGCCGGCCGAGGTGAGGAGGCCAGGGGTGCCACCCTCCCGAGGAGAAGGGCTTCCGCTGGCGGAGGGCTCGCAGCAAAGGCGGCAGCACGTTCACTGGTGGGACTTGCCCTGTCCAAGCATGAGATTCACAAGGCCATCCTCAAGTTTCCATACAGAGAAGAAATGTTCTTGAAGTCCTGAAGTCAGTCCTCTGCGATCCTGGGACACCGGGGCCTGGCGGATGTGCCGCACGTGAGCAGGCAGCCAACTGCCAGCCGGACACAAATGACCTGCAAAGTGCCACTAGTGGCCAAAGACGTGGCAACACCAGAGGCCCATCAAGTACATTAAACAGTCGTTTCTTTAAATACACAGAAAATTCAAGTAATTTATTTAAAAACTGCTTTAGTCTCATCTTGAAATATATCTATGTGTCTATATATATTTGCTCTAGAATGATATTGCAGCATGATCCTCATGCATTCCAAAGGACTTTATTTAAAAACGACTTGAGGCAGCAAAAGCATTACAACTGTCTGACTGTATCCGTGTGGTGTGCGGGGCCTCCGTCTCCTGATCTCAGTAGGCTTACGCCAACCATTTTGAATCGGAAGCGTAGGAACGGCTTGGTTCTGAAGAGCCTGTGGTTTGGAAAACATTTCCAAGCAGCCTCAGTGCTTGCCGGAGTTCTGCGTCTTCGCTGAAACCAGAACGGCAGCGCAGAGCCCTCTGGTGGCACGGGCTCTGCCGTCTAGACACATGCTTCCCCGTGCTCCTGTCCTGACTCCAGCGTTGAGCAGGTGAGCAGGTGAGGAAGCCGCGGAGTTCCGACAGGTTCCAGCATGTACGTCCCCTTCTGGAGCGGGGAGGCTCTCCACATCCACACGCCCGAGGTAGCCTGCGGCGGGGCTTGGGAGGCAGGGCCGCCGGGAGCTCTGCTCTCAGGAATCCCCAGCAAATGGTTTAGCGATGAATCAAAAGTGCAGCGAAAGTCAACATTTGGGGTCTGGAGGGGTCTGGAGGGGCAGCCTGGCCTCCTAGGAAAGTCCTTCAGCTGGGATGAATGGGGTCACATGTCTGGGTGCAGACACCCTCTTGAGCACACGTAATCGCCCGTCCGGAGCTCACACTTCACCCCCCACGTGGTGCACAGCCCATCCCTGGCAGCAGGGTGTCTGGGAGCCGCCCCTGCAAACCACTGCCTTCTGCCCGGGCCCCCCGACCAGCCTCCTCCCAGCTTTGGTGTGCGGCCGCTGCCCAAGGACACGGCTGCCCCGGCCACAGTGTGTCAAACTTGCTGAGGAAAAGAAGAGATGCTGTTCTTCTAAGAAAACCACATTGTGGAAAAGAATTTTTTTTTCTAAAATAATCATAAAGAAAAATACTCTCCAGTAGCTGCAGCACCAGCTGAAGTGACGGGATCTGCCAGTGTCAACACCTGCAGGCGTCCGCAGAGGGGGGATCCGATAAAAACGTTTTAGTCACTGACTACACTGCCGTTACCTGGAGCACTCAGGTAAGGCGTAGCACAGAATGTCACATTTTGTTTTCAATTATAATTCTAGAAATGTGAAATCTTATTTTTTCTAAATTGCTTGTCTATATAAATGTTTTATAATTTAAAAACATGCAGAATAATATACCTGCAGAATAAAGGAGTTGAAATTAACAGATCTTTTTCAATTAAAAAATATTTCAAATGATTTTTTTAATCATCAAAAAAGTGGTTAGTGTGGTATTTTTGCCTACTAGCTCAAACCTACCCTATGACGACTGAATTGTGACTATGGGGTGGAGGGGCTTGGGCCTGCGCTGCCAGGGCGGCCACAGCAGCTGCCGGGCTCCACGGTGTCTGCTCCCGCCCGTGGCCGGGCCCTGCCATCCACCCGACTGCCCGCCCGCCCACCTGGCGGGATGTGTGTAAATGGGAGTGCGGCTCAGACCATGGACTCCGTCTCCACCGGTCCCGGCAGGCCCTCCTTCCGCACGAGCTTCAGCACAGTGGGCTTTTCCCTGCTCCCTCCGGCCCCACCTTCGCTGGCCAGCTGGGAAGACAGGCCTTTCTGCTCTTCCCTGGCCTCCTCTGACGCATCGGGATAGATCACCAGGAATGCGGCCGTCAGGAAGCCCAGGAAAGAGCCCACAGAGGCCACCATGGGGATGACACGGACAGTCCCCACAGCGTCGACCACGCCCCCGAGGGCCGAGGCCACCAGGATCTGGGAGATGTACACCTGGCAGGACAGGATGGCACAGTCGATGCCAAAGCCGCGCTTGGAGTTCCCGGGGCTGTGGTGGACGTACTGCAAGAGAGGAAACATGAGGGTGAGTGGCTGAGAGGGCGGCCGCCACCCAGCCCTGCAGAGCTGTGACTATTAACCCAGCAGCCTGGAAACACAACCTGTCCACCACTGAGCTTCCTAGCAACCGCTCCTGCCTGAGCACCTCCCTTACCCTCAACTCCTGCCCAGCACTGTGCAGGCGGGGAGGTGGAAAGTTCTAGCACAAGGAGAGGGCAGGTGTGGAAGGAACTCTGTCAATCTGATGGGGATGTGGGCTTCCTAGGAACGTGGCCTCCAGTCTCAAGGAGAGGCGGCAGGGCCGGGCTCCACCGGGCTGCCCGCCTCACCCTGGCAGGCTCCCCAGGGGCTGAGAGGCAGTGGGGCCGTGAGCCCAGGTGGATGCTTCCCAAAGTAAAACTGCAGGTGGCCATGGCCAACAAAGTGGCGGGACCCACAGAAACAAGCAGCTTCATTTGTGTTTCTTGAACAAAGACACAAAAGAAAGGTGCTGTTCATATACCACCACTGTCAGACGTGTGACTGGTCAGGCAGCATCTCCACAGGAGGCTTTCTCCTAGAGGTACTGAGAAAAGGTCAATCCGCTATGAAGATAAAGCAGCTCCAAATGTGTACACCAGGATCCCAGGGAGACACTTCAATGTACCTTTCCTAAACAGACAAGAGCAGTAAGAGAAGGGCAAAGCAACGTCAAGGCTGACCTCCCTGACAGAGACAGGGCACCAGGTGCGTGACCCACGTCCTTTCCAAGTGCACACGGAGCATTTCTCAACACGTGAGATGTGCCAGGCCACCAAGGAAGCCGCAACTAACTGCAAGGCTGCGCTCATGTGGGATACGTTCTCTGGCCACTAAGGAATCACACTGGACATCAGTAACAACATGACAACTGGAAACAGCCCAAATGTTGGAATGCCATCAATGTCCTTCTAAATAGTTCACAGTTCAAAACAGAAATCACAATGAAAATTATAAAAATCTTTGAAAACACGTTAGAACCCGCACACAGTGCAGCGAAAGGTGAGTGTAGAGGGAAAGCGGCCTTATCTGCAAATATGAGGCTGGAAGTCGGGTAAGACATGAGCAACAGCAAATTAAACCAAGACATAACAGAAGGCAGGAGACGGCAAAGGTGGCAGCAAACGTGCGAGCACACGGACACGCGGCAGGGAAGCCTGACACCAGAGCTTCCTCGAAACACGCATCAGTGCTCTCAGGTAACTAACACCGGAAGGAAAAAGGGGGTACCGCTACAGGTTCTGTCTCATTAGATCATAAGACTACTGTAAGCAATTGACTGCTAATAATTCTGAAAGTACAGATGACATGGACACATTCTCAGGAAAACACAAATCAAAGCATCATACTTCTGGGCCGGGTGCAGTGGCTCATGCCTGTAATCCCAGCACGCTGAGGGGGTGAGGCAGGCGGATCACCTGAGGTCAGCAGTTTTGAGATCAGTCTGGTCAACATGGTGAAACCTCGTCTCTACTAAAAATACAAAAACTAGCCAGGCATGGTGGTGGGCACCTATAATTCCAGCTGCTCAGTGGGCTGAGAGGCTGAGTTCGTGCCACTGGACTCCAGCCTAGGCAACAGAGCGAGACTGTCTAAAAAAAAAAAAAAAAAAAAAAAAAAGCATCATATTTCCTAGAAAGATATTAAGTGAGATATTAAATACTCCCTGGTTGATTTGAAAAAGCAAACACCACTTCTGTTTATTTTGTATTGGAGGTTCCAGCCATTCCAGGAAGGCAAGGAAAATAAGTAACAGGTATGCAGAATCAGGAAGGAGGAGATACAGCTCATTAGACACAGATGATGTGGTTGCGTAAGCAGATGGCCCAAAGAATCTCCAGATGTGCACGGAGGATTAATAACAGAAGGGGATGGAGCACTTAGGTATTGGAAGCTCCATACTACGAAGTCATTAACTCTCCCTGAATTGACCGATATAATTTGTTTTTAATTTTAAAAGCCCAGAAGCTGAGTCTAACATTTAGATGGCAAATAAATGGTTAAGAATAGCCAAGACAATCCTGAAGAAGAACAAAGTTGAGGGATTTCTACCACCAGGTTTCAAGGCTTATTATAAAACTAGTTTGAGAAGGTTGATGTTTCAGTAGACAAACAGAAGAGAGCAGAAACACACGCTTACACGAAAGCCCAATTTATGACAAAGATGGCACTGCACAGAGGAAAGGGAACGGCGCTGGGTCATGACCTGGGCAAACACCCATATGTAGTGGGAAAAAATGAAAGTCTTGATCCCCTACCTCAAACCATACACACCACATCTACTCCAAGGTGACTGTCAACCAAGAGCAAGGGCACAAAAGGAGGTGTGGCCAGGGATGCTCCAAGAGTGCTACCTGCGACAGCATAGCCCAAATGCCCACAAAGCAGGAAGCATCTGGCCACACACTGCGACATGAAAAGGCTGGCCGTGCTGCCGTCAGCATGCATGTGAGTGAAACCCAGAGATGAAGCCAGGTGTTTCAGCTGCATAAAATCCAGAAGGAGACAAAAGTCTGTGTGTGCTGTGTTTACTGGGCACTGGAGATAAAATTCGTCTCATCTGTGATGTGCGACGATGGAACATACACGCAATTTCAATGATTAGCAAGAGTGTAAAATACCATGGTGATTTTTTGATATAGAGTACATGTTGAAATGACGTTTCACCAGGTTAAATGAAATATGCTAGCTTTCACTGGCCATCCCACTTTCTAAATGTGGCTAAAAGGAAGTGGAGGCACACCTGTGTGGCTCTCCTCCCACCCCACTGGACAGGGCTGGCTGGAGCTTCCCCCTCAGGGAACTGTGACTGGGCCTGAGGGGACCAAAGGAGCAGGGACAGTGCTTCTGCCTCCAGAAACCTCTGGGAGGTGCTAGCGGGTGGGGGTGGCTGAAGAAGACCCTTTGTGGCCAGGGGCCGCCCAGGGACAGGTGGTGGCTCTGTGGGCTTTGGGAGGAGCCATGTCAGAAGCAGAGACGGCGGAGGGCCATCTGTGTGGTGAGCCTCCCCCCGTGGAAGTGCAGGGCTCCGCTCTGAGGGGACAGAAGGCGCTTAGGAGGCTGGGACGTGGCTCTCAGGGCCGCTGTGGCACGTACCTGCTTGATGTCGTGGTACTGGCCCAGCAGGGCGTAGGGGCAGTAAGAGATGCTCATGGAGACGATACCCATGGTGCTGATGGTGACCATGGCAACGTAGACATCGGGAAACATGGCCATCACGGCAGTGCCCACGGAGAAGCCCAGTGTCCCCAGCACGTAGATCACCCTGACGCTCAGGTCGTAGTTGTCCAGGTACTTCTGTAACAGGGCTGCAGAGAGACACACAGGGACAGGGACGGTGAGCGGGTGGCCGGCTCCTGTCGGGCTCCCTCCACCACCCCTTCCCTAGACCCTCTCATCCACCTAACCTTCCCTCATTCCAGCTGAATCTGGGCCTGCTCAGGCAGACACCGAGGCATGGACCTCTGGCACATGCGTGTAGCTCGTGGGCCCACTGGGAGGCCCAGTGGCTTCAGCACCACAGAGGGAAGTCGGCCCTCCTTATTCTAGGCCCATAACCCAGCTCTTCCTGCAGCTCTCAGGGACCCCTGCCCTGCCCTACCAATCTGGGACCACTCAGTGCCTTCTCTGGCCTCACGCCCGGGACGATTTCTTCTGAGGTGGGCAGCAGTGGGCAGTTCTGCCTTGGGACATTGTTGCTGGTTTTTCTCATGGGCACCTCTGCTCTTCCCTCACCCTTCCTACCCGGTGGCTCAGAGGTCACCTCTTCTGGGAGAGTGCTCTGCTGAGAATTCCTCTGTTAAAGTGGTGGCAACAGCATGGGCCATTGCACCGGCTGCTGCTGACCAAGAGGCATTGACTTGGGCCATCCTCACGTCTAGCTCGGGCTGAATGATGCTGGCCTTCCCCAAGTTCAGAGTCCAGGCGGGCCAGCCTGACTTGCACTTGGCTCAGAGACCCCTGACCCAATTACCCCGGTTCCCGGCGAGCCTGGGGGCGCTGCCAAGGGACGGAAGCCTGCCACCCAGGCCCATCCCTCAGGGTGAAACGTGCCTGCGCCCTGCTCTGCTGCCACTCTGCCCACCAGGCCACCATCCAGCTCTACACTGGGGCCAGGGACAGCGTGTTGGGAGGTGCCACTGACATGGGACAGCGCCGTGGGACCACATGAGCAGGACAGGCCCCAAAGGCGTCTCAGAAACACACTGCTCCCAGTGTCAGTCCACAGCGGCCTTTTCCCCTGAAATGAGGGGAATTTCCATGCTTCTCCCCAAGGGGCGGCCCTGTTCTGAGGGACCCGGAAGCCAGGGTGCGATTGATGGCCCCCGATTCTAAGGTGCAGAATTCTCTCGTCCACATTTCTGATCTGAGCGTTTTCTGGGCTGCGAATGCTGACCTGACCTAGCTCTTACCAGAGCAGATGGCACCAGTGGCTGCGTAGATGACCAGGCCCCAGCAGCCCATCTTCACCCCGGCGTTGTAGGCTTGCCAGGCGGTGGAGTTCGAGGCGGCCTGTTCCGGAAAAGAGACGGGGCTGATGAGGGCATCTCCAGGCCCAGGGGCGTATTTCCCAAGGGAACGGCTGCTGGCCAGCTACTCATTTTAAGAGCGGTGAAAGGAGAGTCCCCTCCAGGAGGAGGGCCCGCCCCAAGTCAGTTGCTGTCTGGTAAAGCATTTCCATGCCTCCCAGACCACAGACGATCTGTGCTGTGACTCTGCTACCGCAGCAAGAGGTGGGGTCTGGTCTGTGCTGCCCGCTCCCCTGTCTGGGCTGCCCACTCCGCTGTCTGGGCTGGGCTGGACTTGCAGAAGTCATGCCCCGTGGCCTTGGCCCTCTTTGAGGCACTGCATGGAGCAGCTCAGACTGGACTCGGAAGAGGAGGGACCGTGTGGAGACAGGCAGGAGGCCCGAGTGTGTGCTGAGGGCACCTTGGTTCTCCTGGCAAAAGCAGCCATGGGTGTGACCCAGCTGTCACCACAGGACCAGAAGAGCCGCCCATGAGCCTGGAATGACTGACAGCAGGGCATCATTTGAGCTGTTCTGCTCTGGGGTAGGCTGACACAGTAACAGACAACCTGTTCAGCACCAGAATCGGCAGCTGGCATTCACGATTGCTCGCCGTGGGCCTCACTGCAACCCCTACCCGTGGCCTCCAGGATGGCCCTGACCAAGTTCCCAGGGGCGTGCACAGGCCAGCTGCCTGCCGTGGGTCCCTCACCTGCACAGGAGGCTCCGTGAGCCCTCCTTGACACGCGTGGGAACCAGGAAGAGGTCCCCCGGCCCAGCCTGCGAGTTTCTCGGTGAGCCGCAGGTAGCTGGAGAGGGCCCGCTCCAGTGGCCGAGCACTCACCTTGGGGTCACCCTCGAAGATGACTTGGCCCATGAAGTCGGTGTAGAACACGGCCTCGGCGATGACGGAGAACCAGGTGAGGAGGTGGCAGAGGCACAGGCGCATCAGCTCCCTGGGCATCTTCAGCATGGAGAGCCACAGCAGGCGCACAGTGGTCTCGCCCTCCCCCTCCTCGCTCTCCGTGTCTCCACTGGAGTTGGTGGCCCCGCTCTGGTTCCGGTGCCGGCGCCGCTGCCGCTGCCGCTTCTGCATGTCGTACAGGTCGCTCATGCTGCGCGACGGCTTGATCAGCACCACCGCGTTGGCACGCCGGTAGCGGTAGCAGTGGGACCCGAGCTTGCCATAGTAGGAGAAGGTGCTGGAGGCCTGCCGGCGGAACGCGTGCCGCCGTCGCCGCACGGAGCTCGACGTGGCCGAGGGCTTCATGTCCACCCTGGCGTAGCCGCCGAGGGCATCTTTTGCCAGGGAGCCACTTCCGTTTGGGACTTTAGCTTCATTCAAGTGATTATCCAGCAAGGTCTCGTCCTCCTTGGTGGCTTCCCTGAGGAAGGTGGTCAGGTGGGGCAGCCTGGCCTTGGCAAGCTCCTGGCTGGTGCTGCAGGGGGTGGCAGGGTAGGAGGCGTCTTGGAAGATGGAAGGCTCGATGTCGTGCAGGAAGAGCAGCTCGGGCTCCAGGTCCAGCACGGCGTCCGGCACGTGTAGCGCCGAGTCGCTCTTGCTGCGCACGATGTCCACGTCCGGGTAGTCCAGGGCCAGCTCGTGCTCCGACTGCACCTCGTCCGGGAAGGCAGTGACGCCGTGCTGTGCGCCCCCGTCCAGGGTGCTGGGCTCCTCAGCGCTGCGTTCCTGCTGCGGGCTGTACTGCTCCTCCTCGATGCTGAACAGGTGCAGGGCCACGGACACCGTGAAGATGATGGCGGCGAAGAAGAAGAGCACCTGGTTCTGTGTCCGGAACCAGCTGCCCAGGAAGGTCTGCGTCCAGTCCAGCCCACCCAGCACGTAGCCGACGGCCCCGCCGAGGCCTGCGGGGGAGGAAGCAGCAGGTGGTGAGCCGGTGGCACGAGGCCACAAGGAAAGCTCTGGACGGGCCTCTCCCTCTAACGGGGCCAGGGCTGCACTCCTGTTAGGAGTCAGGGGATGCAGGAGGAGAAGGCGGTAGGAAAAACAAAACCAGAAACTGCAGCTGCCCTATCTCTGAGAATTCTGAACTGACAGAATCACCGCTTGATCAATGAGGGGCAGACCGTCCCAGGACGGACACAGTGCGTGCCTCCCGCACTGAATGCCCTGCCCTCAGCACACAGAGCCTACCACATTGACCTGGACGGAACACCGCCCGGCTGGAGGTCGAGGTCAGTGCAGGGCCGGGAGGCTCACTGTGTAGGCAGTACATCACCCCAGCAGGCCTGGCCTCCTGCCCCTGGAGACTCCTCAGTGCCTCAGCCCACTGATCAGTGGTCAGGAGGGCTGCCCCTGGTTACCTTCCAGCCCTGAGACCCTGCCCACTGCCTCAGCCCACCATGCAGCCTGATGAGGTAGCACTGACCACGGGAGCACAGGCTCCTGTCCCCTCCCCACACCTGGCCTGGGCATGCTGGACCCCGGCCACCCTGTCTCAGTGTGGGAGTGTTACCGGCAGAGAAGGCGTGGATGTTGAGGGCCATGTCCTGCTCCTCACTGTCCACCACGTCCAGCAGATAGGCGCGAATGGGCCCCTCGGTGGCATCGGCGCTGAAGTCCAGGACCACCACCCCCAGCACTGTGAGCACGATGCCGATGGGCTGCCGGCCGGGGACATCGCCAAGGGCCAGACCTGCGCAGAGCACACGGGCAGCGGTCAGGTCCTCACACTGGCCAGGGTGGGCCCGAGAGCAAACAGCCACGTGGAAGGGGCACATGGAGGGGGCACAGCCACGAAGCCACGCCAGCCTTTCTGCACAAGAGAGTGGGGCTCTTTGGCTCAGATGCAGGGGACAGGAGCTAGGTTTTCTTCTGTGTACTCTGTGGCTTCCAGGGTTTCTTCTCCCCATTTGGTTAGTAAACCCTCTCCAAGGGTTTACTCACCCTTGATGTTCTTTCAAACAGAAAGTAGGAGAATGGTCCTTCCTGCCCCAGCCGTCAGATTACGGCTGCTGTGCTGGAAGCGGTAACTCCGTGTCGCTAAGGAGGCCACACAATAGTGCAGACGTCTACGGGGCAAAGCGCTCACGCCACAGACAACCCGTGGGCAACACTGACAAGGCTTCATGAGGCAGGTGCAGGGGGTCTCACGGGCCTGCTCTAGGTCTGAAAGGAAATGACACCCCAAACTTTGGAGGCTTTGCACGCAAGTTCTCGGGGCAGCCTGGGTTCAGGAGATGTGGCTCTGGAGAGAAAGATGCCAGGGGCCTCGCCTCCTACAGGTCCTCCTGCAAAAGGCTGCTGGCACCCAAAGGCAGCTGCCCCCATCCATGCCCCTCCAGCTTCGGGGAGTGTGCCCCTGAATCTAGAGCAATGTTGGCGGCTGAGGTTCAACCCGTCGCTTCCCACCAGGGAGACAAGCAGTGCCCTCCTGACGAGATGAGGGGAACTGTGGGCAGGGCCTGGGACCCAGGACCTGAGGTGCTGTGATTAGCCCGAATGCAGACACCTGCCCGTGGAGGTGCAGGAGAAGGGATTTCTGCCCAGGTGGTCCTTGCTGGCTGCCTCAGACCACGGGCAGGAGACAGCTCCAAGGCAGAGGGGCTGGGGCTCCCAAGCTGGCTGTATCTGAGTCATATTTGGGAGGACTTCCCGCAAAGACACAGTCCCGGGAAAGCCATGTTGTTTCCCTCTCCATTTAGGTAATGGTGGGGAGGAGAGGGCTGTTTCTGAGGGACACGGACAGGCTGGTGTGGGGGGCAGGAGCTCCGGGCCCAGCAGGCACCAGGGCAAGCTGCACCCCCACACGCAATCAGAGGCATCGCCTGTTGGTGACAAAGCTTGCCCCACGGCCAGTGCCCACTCGGGCTCTGTGAAGTGTCCCTGGGGCTCTCCTCCGGCTGCTCCAACTCCCCCACCTCCCTCTGCAATATGCAGACCTGGGGCAAGCTCCTCCCTCTCAAAAAGTTGTTGCCAGAAAATGTTGTATTTTTAACAGTTTTGATGGGTGCCCTCGAGGCAAAAAGGATTTTCCCACACACAGTTGCAAAAGAAAACCACCACCGAAAAGGCAAAACACAGACATCAAACCAGGCTCTGGACATTTTAACACCAAGTCGAAGAAAAGGAGAACAAAAAAAAGCAAAGATAATTTCTGAAAGAATGCTGGAAACAGGACGCGGCGTCAGATACGCATCAAAAACAAGCGGTCACAACAGGAAGCGTTTCCCTGTGAACAGGTTCCTCCAGCTTTCCCACGTGGGGCTGGCTTCGGTGCTGCCAGGCGGCCTGCGGGGTGGTCACCGCCAGGGTGTCCCTAGAAGCCCGGCCAGCCCCACACAGGGTCAGCCTGAATGGTCATGACCATTCAGCTTTTACTGAGTGGAGCTACCCAGGGTCAGAGCCCCGTCCGTGTGCAAGGAGAAACTTACCGATGGCAGAGCCGTTAAGGAAAAGTGCAATGCCGAAGAGGACGCCGACGCAGAGGGCGAGGATGAAGGGCCGCCGGCGGCCCCAGCTCAGGGTGCACCGGTCACTGGCAGACCCAATGAGAGGTGTGAAGATGAGGCCAAGGATGGGGCTCAGGAACCAGGTGAGGCTGTAGTACTGCTCCGGAAGGCCTGCAAGGGACACGATGGCCGTTGTACACGCAAGCACTGGCCGGGCTCTGCCACAGTCTGTGTGGGAGCCTGGTGACAGCAGGTGCCTCTGTATACATGCGTGCACACACGCACGCACACACGTGCACACCCCCCACTCGGGTTGTGTCTCTATGGGGTGGACTCTTTTTTCAGCAAGGCCAGATATCTGAAGTCAACCTGGCCACAATATAAGCATCAGGTGGCCAGAGAAAAGCAGCCGGGCCTTGGAGGGCCAGTGGGCCCCACCTGCCCAGGCCCCAGCCTGAGGGACAGCACACGCTGACCGCGCAGGCACGTGGAGGGCACCCTGCCCGGGGCTGGACATGGGCTGAGAGCCCCTCCACACGGCTGGTGCTGACCAGGGCTTCGGGGCTGCTGTAGGCCACTTGGAGGGGGACAGGCACAGGGCCACTGTCCCTCGACACCAGACGGTCTACAAGAGCAGGATGGGGACTGCAGCTTCACAGAGGCAGGAAGGGCCCACCAAACCTGGACCTCACTGGCTGAAAATGCACCAGAGGGTCCCCACAGCCAGCAAAGGGCTGCTCTGAGTGGCTACTGAGTTGGGGCAGTGGGGATGAATGTGTCCAGCTGGAGCCAAAGGGCTGCAGATGACACCTGTCACGCTCACCTTCTCCTTCCTGACCACCCAGGGAGGCAGGAAATACTGTGCCTACTGCAGACAGGGATCAAGTTCAGAGAGGTAAGGTAATCCACCCTGGGTCACAAAGCTAGGATTTCAGCCCTGGGCTACCTGATTTCAAACTATGTTCCTGAGTCTACAGGCTGCCTCCCTATCACACAAACCCGCGTGTCCATCGCCAGCCAGGTGGGCACATGATGTGGGCAGTCATAAGCGCCACAGCACGGGAACGCGCAGCCGTGTGCACGAGCTCACTCACAGCGCTGAGCGAAGCGGTCGCACACAGACGGGCACATGCCTCTGACGCCTATTGTGTGTTGTCCAAAGGCGCGGAAAGGACTCTCTGCTGTGAGAACCTGGGTGCCGGTCACCCTTGACGGGGGGCAGTGGCCGAAGCGAGGTGGGTTCTGGGACTGAGGGTCTCTTCTTGATCTGGATGGGAGTCCCACGCTCCAGCCACGTGGTGCCAATTCATCCCACAGGGGACCTGAGATCTGTGCCCTCTCCCCACGCTGTACGTCAGGAAAACGCTGCCTTACAAAAGGTGCTTGACGCGCCAGTGGCTCATCTGGCTAACGTTTCACACTGCCAAAAGCCACTGAGAGTATTGTGTTGAACTAGCAAGAAAAATAAACTTGTGTGGGAGGAGGAAATCATTTTCAGAGGAGGGAAGCAGCTTTCACAATTACTGCTAACGTGCCCACTCAAATATTTGCGCATTTGGCCGAGAATTTCAGGTGTCTGCTTTGACCTCTGCACTGCACACCTCAGGAAGGGTGAATTTTATCCCTAAGTCAGCAGAAAGGACTGATGTTTCAGGAAGTGTGGAGTCTGTGGAGCGTGTCCGCTGGACGGGTGAGAATTTACATGGCAGACCTGGGTTCCTTGGCGTCCCTGCCCTTGTTAATAATTATCCATCAGGAAGCCTATTTCTCAGAAGGGGCTCTTTACCAAAACTACACAGAGGGCGCAGAGAGAATGGGAAGTGGTTATTACCCTTACCCTCACCACATGCAGACTGAACTAATCACTGTGGGCAAACCCTGTGACGGGTGGCCCTGGCAGAGCTGCGGGGCCTGTGTGCTGGCTGCCCTGGCCCCTCTGCAGTGTGTACCCGGAAGGGCTCTGGGTGTCTCCTGTAGCGGTGTGCTGGTTCTCACCTCCCTGCCTACGGAACCTCCACCTGCTGTCACTTTTCAAACTCCTTGGGGGCCATCCACCCAGGAGGCCCCCACTACCCTGGGCACAGCAGTGCCTGCCTTTTCCACACAGCATCCAAGCCGCCTCAGCCACCCACATGCACTCCTGAGAGACCGTGCCCCCCCCGGAGGGCTGTGGCCGCTCCCTCCTCTCTCCGTGCCACCCACCCAGGCTGGCACCAGATGGGAGCTGTGACTCACAGAGGGCTTGAACGCTAGCTGACCTGAACCAACACCATCTGACCATTTCCAGTAGGCCTCGTTCCTTTTTGAAAAACTTGCGTTTTCATCTGATAGCCCTTCCCTTAAGCCTGAAGGATTTTCTTTAGTTGTTTTTTTGTTTTTAGCATTTCTAATACAGGGGCTCTAAGGGCGACAAATGTGCTTGGATTTTGTCTGAACTCTCTTTATTACCCTTTGACTCTTGAAGAATACTTTTGCTGGACACAGAATTCTAGGTGAACTCCTCCCAGCCCAGATCCTTGAGGATGTCATCCGCAGTGTTCGGAGCGCTACAGTTTCTGACAGGGCTCCCTCCTGTGTCACTGATGTATCTTTTTTCCTCGAGCCGCTTTAAAGATTCTCTTTACTGTTGCTTTTCAGTAGTTTGACAATGACGAGCCTAGACAGGGATTTCTGTACACACCTCCTGGCTGGGCTTCCGTGAGCTTTATGAATTTGTAGATTTATATTAACATTTCACCAAGTTTAGAAAACATTCCATATGTCTTACTTCAAAGCTGTGGGTTTTTTTTTTTTTTTTGAGACAGGGTCTTGCTCTGTCACCCAGGGCTGGAGTGCCATGGCGCAATCTTGGCTCATTGTAATGTCTGGCCTCCCGGGTTCAAGCAATTCCTGTGCCTCAACCTCCTGAGTAGCTGGGTACAGGTGTGCACCACCACACACGGCTAAGTCTTTGTATTTTTTGTAGAGACAGGGTTTCACTGTGTTGGTCAGGCTGGTCTTGAACTTCTGAGCTCAAGCGATCTGCCCACCTTGGCCTCCCAGAGTGCGGAGATAACAGGATTGAGCCACTGCTCCTGGCCCTTTAAGATTTTATGTCCCATTCTCTATTTCTTTTCTTCTGGGGTTCCAATTACAGACATGAGACCTTTGAGGTCATCCCTGTTTCCTGGGGCTTCCTTCATTTCCTTTTTTGTCCATATGATTATTTCTACTGATTAATCATTAAGTCCACTGACTCTTCTATCCTCTCCAATCTGCCGTTAACTGCATCTGGTTCCTTTTCTGTTTTGATGCTGTTATTTGTTCAGACCTAGAGCTTCCATTTGGCTTTTTCTATAGCTTTTATTTCTCTGCTGGGACTCCCTGCTCTCCATTCTGAGCGTGGTTTCTGTCCTTCGGCATAGTTGTGCACACCCATCTGGCCAGCACGGCGCGTGGCGTCATCGTGGGTCAGCCTCCACTGCCTTCTGAGCAAGGGTCCCCTTTGCTTTTAAAAAAACATGGCTGCCGGTGCGGTGGCTCACGCCTGTAATCCCAAAACTTTGGGAGGCTGAGGTGAGTGGATCACCTGAGGATGGGAGTTTGAGACCAGCCTGACCAACACGGAGAAACCCTGTCTCTACTAAAAATACAAAATTAGCTGGGTGTGATGGCACATGCCTGTAATCCCAGCTACTCAGGAGGCTGAGGGGGGAGAATCACCTGAACCCGGGAGGTGGAGGCTGTGGTGCGCTGAGATCGAGCCATTGCACTCCAGCCTGAGCGAAACTCCGTCCTTCCAAAAAAAAAAAAAAGGTGGAATAATACTGAGTTGTATCCTAGACACTGTGGAAGCTGTATTATAGGCGACACTGTTATATTCCTTTGAGAGTGATTTGAGAGTGTTTGTGGTTTTATTTAACACAGGGTTTGAAATTCCCGCCCCATATCCTAACTCTGCCTGTGGGCTTTTCAAGAAAGGGAGAGTGGAGTTATCCACCCAAGTTTTAGCCACCCTGGGCTGCATCAACCAAGGCCAACCATTGGGTTAAAAGTGGTGCCAAGTGAGAAACCCGGGCATTCCCTCTTCCAGTGGTCACCTTCCTGCTTTGTTTCTGCCCCGAGTACTGGCTGGGTGTCGGGAGGAGCTGTAGGTGGGACCCAGTCTACCCACTCTAGAGGTGGTGCTGCATGCACAGACCTGTCCCGCCTTCATGCTGACAGCCTTGGGAGATGGGCAGACGCTGGGTCCAGAGCAGCCCTGGACCAGACAGCCGCCCCAGCCCACAAGGGAGGCTTCTCACCCCAGGAGACAAGAAGAAACGGGGGAATGGGGGGAACTGCTGGGCCCGGGCCAGGCCCTCAGCTTCCCAGTCCTCCTATGGAGGCTGCTTCTCCAGCCTTGCACCATGGGCCCCTCCAGAGCCTGGTGGGACCGGGGCCCCAGGTATCCCTGGCACCTCCACCCACAAGCATCCTCCCCTCTGCCCTCCGCTCCGACTCCTATAGCCCCACAGATGCCCTGGCCCCCCTGCGGCCCTGGCCCATCCCTCCGGTATTGCCAGCCCCCAGCCCTAGGTCAGGCCTCCCCATGTCTCCCTCTGACCCCCACTAACTCACCCCTATGCCTGCCCCATCTACCTTGGGACCCAGGGCAGCCCCTCAAACCATACAGCTGCCATGGACTGTGCTTCTTCCACCGTTCCTTCCTGACGTGATTTTCACTTTATACCCTGTGGGGTCAGGGCAGTGTTCCCACCTTCAACAGAACACTGCCGGGCTTGCGGGGTTCCTTTCTCCATCCTCCCCTCTGCTCGGACAACCCCAAGCCTGCACATCAGGACCAGCCCTTGGCGCATTCTAAGGGGACCAGTGGAGATGCAGAGCCCACTGCGGCACCACCGCCTGTGCCTCCTGCTGGGGTGCCCTCCACGTTCTTTCCCTGGAAGGGGTGGCGCGCTGGCACCAGGCATCTACACCCAATGACAGCTGTCACTGCTGAACCCCTCGGTGGGCCTGGCGCCACCCCAGGTGCTGGCCTGCGTACTCTGGAGGGACCCAGAGTCCAGCCAGAACGGGAGACACACGACTGGGGTACACAGGGCGGGAGAGGCTGCCAGGGCCAAGGAGGCTTCCCTCGGATGGCATGCAGTGGAGGCTGCAGAGACCATGAGCAGGTCAGGCTGAGGATG